TTGTAGTTGTAGGCTCAGGGGTTGTAGTTGTTGGCTCAAGGGTTGTGGTGGTTGTGGGCTCTGTGGTTGTAGTTTTAGGCTCAGGGGTTGTAGTTGTAGGCTCAGGGGTTGTAGTTGTAGGCTCAAGGGTTGTGGTGGTTGTGGGCTCTGTGGTTGTAGTTGTAAGCTCTGTGGTTGTAGTTGTAGGCTCAGGGGTTGTAGTTGTAGGCTCTGTGGTCGTAGTTGTAGGCTCTGTGGTTGTAGTTGTAGGCTCAGGTGTTGTAGTTGTAGGCTCAGGGGTTGTAGTTGTAGGCTCAATGGTTGTGGGCTCTGTGGTTGTAGTTGTAGGCTCAGGGGTTGTGGGCTCTGTGGTTGTAGTTGTAGGCTCTGTGGCTGTAGTTGTAGGCTCAGGGGTTGCAGTTGTAGGCTCAATGGTTGTGGGCTCTGTGGTTGTAGTTGTAGGTTCTGTGGTTGTAGTTGTAGGCTCAGGGGTTGTGGTGGTTGTGGGCTCTGTGGTTGTAGTTGTAGGCTCAGAGGTTGTAGTTGTAGGCTCGGGGGTTGTAGTTGTAGGCTCAGTGGTTGTAGTTGTAGGCTCAGGGGTTGTAGTTGTAGGCCCAAGAGTTGTAGTTGTAGGATCTGTGGTTGTAGTTGTAGGCTCAGGGGTTGTGGTGGTTGTAGGCTCTGTGGTTGTAGTTGTAGGATCAGGGGTTGTAGTTGTAGGCTCAGGGGTTGTAGTTGTAGGCTCGGGGGTTGTAGTTGTAGGATCTGTGGTTGTAGTTGTAGGCTCAGGGGTTGTGGTGGTTGTGGGCACTGCGGTTGTAGTTGTAGGCTCAGGGGTTGTGGTGGTTTTAGGCTCTGTGGTTGTAGTTGTAGGCTCAGGGGTTGTAGTTGTAGGCTCGGGGGTTGTAGTTGTAGGCTCAGGGGTTGTGGTGGTTGTGGGCTCTGTGGTTGTAGTTGTAGGCTCAGGGGTTGTGGTAGTTTTAGGCTCTGTGGTTGTAGTTGTAGGCTCAGGGGTTGTAGTTGTAGGCTCGGGGGTTGTAGTTGTAGGCTCAGGGGTTGTGGGCTCTGCGGTTGTAGTTGTAGGCTCAGGGGTTGTGGTGGTTTTAGGCTCTGTTGTTGTAGTTGTAGGCTCAGGGGTTGTAGTTGTAGGCTCTGTGGTTGTAGTTGTAGGTTCAGGGGTTGTGGTGGTTGTGGGCTCTATGGTTGTAGTTGTAGGCTCGGGGGTTGTAGTTGTAGGCTCTGTGGTTGTAGTTGTAGGCTCAGGAGTTGTAGTTGTAGGCTCTGTGGTTGTAGTTGTAAGCTCAGGGGTTGTAGTTGTAGGCTCAGGAGTTGTAGTTGTAGGCTCAGGAGTTGTAGTTGTAGGCTCAGGTGTTGTAGTTGTAGGCTCAGGAGTTGTAGTTGTAGGATCTGTGGTTGTAGTTGTAGGCTCAGGAGTTGTAGTTGTAGGATCTGTGGTTGTAGTTGTAGGCTCAGGGGTTGTAGTTGTAGGCTCAGGAGTTGTAGTTGTAGGATCTGTGGTTGTAGTTGTAGGCTCAGGGGTTGTGGTGGTTGTGGGCTCTGTGGTTGTAGTTGTAGGCTCAGGAGTTGTAGTTGTAGGCTCAGGGGTTGTGGTTGTGGTGGACGCCGGGGCGGTAGGCGGTAGGGTGGAGTCGTCAGTCAGGACCTCCACGTACTCGAATCCAACGGCTGCTCCAGCTTGTTTTCCAGTTCCACATAATTTTATTTCCAGCTGTTCACGGTAGAAGTAAATTCACAGTTAGGTAATGCATCAGGACAAAGCATAGTGTTAACATTATGGAAATGATGATAATGGCTTACGCACTAGAAACAAAAAGGACATCATAATAATGCTAACTGAAGATGGCTGTAGTAGTAGTATGGTTTTGTTATTATTCATTATTATCATCATCATCAGCAGTTGTTGTTGCAGTAGTAACCGTGGTTGCTGTAGCAGTTGTAATAATAATGATGAAAATAATTATCATTGTTGAAGTAGTAATAGTAGTAATGAGAGTGGCAATAATTATTATGGTAATAATTAAGAAATAATCATAATGATAACTACTATAATAATAGTAAAAGAAAGTGTAAAAGAAATTTAAATAAAAGTAATAATGATGATAATACTAAAGATATTATAATAATAATCATAGTAACTATAAAAATGATAACACTATCTTGTTGCTATACTTTTATACTTTTATACCGCAGTTTAGAGAATGATCACAAATAATATTTCAGATTCATAACTTATGACGAAATATTGAATTATACACATTCTTTGTATTATCTCTTTCAAACAGTTTATATTCCCACGCAGTCTTTCAAAAGTAGCATGATATAGAATATAGCATTACATTTTACTGATGTCAGGCATTTTATGCTTGTTTGCAAAAATGGCCCAGGGAATTGCTGATCTCCATAACTGAAGCTGAAGGAATGAGCTGAACTTGTCAAATATAAGTAAGAAAGACTTCTAATGTAGAACTCTAGACCAGGGCAACTATTCTAAGTAAAGGTCCAGTTAGACAAGTTCCAGTATATACAGAGGTCCGGATAAATATTTCACTTGCAATTATGAAAATAAAACCACCAATCTGAGTACTCCATGGCGTTCCCATATCCCCTAACTTACCTAACTTTCAAGAATCCATCACCAGAACCTTCATTTTATTTCATTTTACTTTTCTCCTCCTGGAGCCTGGGGTCCCGTTACAACACTCAGAATGTTCGGATTTGGACCGCAGGCCGCCAGTTGAGTTGCCCTAGTCTAAACATTATTCACATAATGATGATGATGATGATAATAACGATAATAGTATTAACAATTACGGTAATGATAGTAATGATCAAAACAACAACCAAATAATAACAATAATAATAATATAAAACAACAACAGTAATGATAATAATAATCATCATCATAATAATGATAACTCTTAAGATGGCAATGTCCATAATGATCATAACGGAATGAATAATAGGACAATATCAATGACGTCTTAATGAAAAAAACTATAATACAATTCACATATTTTTTGTTTTGTCGAATTTGTTATATAGTATCAGCACGTGAGGTACTTGTTTTTTTTTTCTCTTCGTCTCATATATTAATTCATCCAATTCTTTCTTTCCCTTATGCATTATCCATCCATTTGCTGTCTTTTTTTCTCTCTCCCTTCGTCTGCTGGATCATCAGAATTTTCAAACGGATAGCATTCCACTCACTTGGTCTGCTGTACTTCAGCAGCTACTACAAATTCCGCTCGAAAGTTAAGCATCTCCAGGAAAAGTTCATTCGATTCTGCCAATCATCTTGTTATGACGCCGTTAAGGTTTCCCGCAGTTTTCTGGTATTCGCATTCGGTTCGGAGGCTGGGCGCTCTTCAAGGGCGATTTTCATCCAAACTGCTTTTCAGATTAAATTTAGATAATCGTTGGCAATTATTAGTTGATTAAAAAGAATAGTTTTGGGTTGGTCACTCGACCACAAAACATGTTTAACTAACAATAAGTGGCGCTATTACTGGTACCATGAATATTGTTCTGTATTATAAGCCAAAAATATGTACATATAAATATGGTCAAGTCTATAACAACTATATGGAATGGGAATGAAAACGTAAAAATGTTTTCCAGTACAATTTATATTAGCATTTTTTTTTTCTTTTTGATGGGGAGAGCTAGCAGCATCAAAATTTGTGAGGGTAGCCACAGTCATGATCACCATATCAAGGGGTAGTCACAGCTGTCTCCAGTAGACCTCAATTTTTAGTAGATTCATTTTATAGCGGTGCTGAGATTGAAGCACATGTTGGGCTTCCCGTCATTGCGCTGTGCACTCCTACTGACATACGGAACTCGCTCCCATGGCAGATAGCTGGCACAAATAATTTAGCATGGAAATGCTAACAGTGGCAAGAATAGTCTTAAAGACTTTGATAATGAGGATGGAGATTATGATGATGATAATTGTTACTGATAATGATAATATCAATAAAAAATAGTTCTCCAGTTAGTGATGCTAACACCAAGGAGGGCGCATTGTCAAGGGGACTCATCTCGGCGACTTTCTAGATGAAGGCCAAGCTAATATTAACTTCGTAGTCCAAGCCACGACTCTCTAGTTATAACGCGGGCCTCGTCGCATGGGGTGAACCATACCATCGTCTTCTTCTTACTCAGCTTTCTCCCGTTTCTATACGGGGTCGCGGTTCCTAGTCAGCCGTTTCCAAACGCCTCGGTTTTCATATTCACCTCTATTTAGATCAATTCCTTTGCTTCTTAGATCATCTTGTACACAATCTTTCCATAGTCTCTTTGGTCTCCCCCTCCTTCTTCTACCTTCCACTATCATATCAGAGATTCTATTTCCTAGGTATTGTCCATCTCTTCTTTTAACGTGACCATACCATTAAAGCCTCCGCTCCTGCACTTTCTTTGAAGCTTCTATCACCTTAGTTGTCCCTCTAATTCTTTCATTCCTGATCTTATCAAGTTTTGTTACTCCACACATCCACCTCAACATCTTCATTTCGGCTACGTTCAGTTTCTTCTCCTGTGACTTTTTATTGGCCACGCTTCCGCACCATAGATCATTGCAGGTCTTGCTACCGTTTTAAACCAAACCATCGTCTGTGCGCTTGATTTTGGTAACAAACACTTGCTCGCGTGGCTCTCTTCACTGGTTATAAGTCATTTGCTATAGGAATGAAGGCTCAACGTTTACTTAAACGACGTATGTGGATTCATTCGTGCTTGTAAAGAGGAAATACAAGTATGATCTGCAGCAAGAACTTCGTTTGCAGGAAAGATATAAGCAAGCCTCATTGTGGACCTTTGGAAGACTCACGCATGTAACCTATGATGTTGTGACAGCCACTGTCTAATGAATTTCCGTGTAAAGATTGTAAGCTTCCTTATGAAATATAAGGATATAGAATGCAATATCTATTTGAATATTATATTAATTGAAATGTATAGTGTTATTATTTTTGTGCAGATGAGTATTCTAATTCAAAGCAGACTACAGGCTTTCTTGTCATAATAATAATCATGATAATATTAATGCTGAATAATATTGAATGGTGAAAACACTCTACCGTGTTGATACTATGGTAGAAAAACCCTCAATGTATGAACTGGATTTATTGAAAGTGAGACAACAGTTTCGGAATCCACCTGGATTCCATCCTCAGGTTTGAAGAGGAAAGGGAGAGGAGGGGTATAAAAGAAAGAGAGGAAAGGCAATGCAGTGACACGGGGCAGGTGAGGACAGATGAACGGAAGCGAAGGGAGATCAGATCAGGTCGGAAAGTCGGGCAGACTATGTGGAAGATGGCCGGCGTACGGGAGAAGGAGGAGAATGTTGGAAGCGAGAAGATTGTCGACAGGAGAAAAGCCGCTGTTCAGGTTGAAATTAGGCAGAAGCTTTATTAGGGAGGATTCCACCAATCTGCAGGTGTGGACGTCAGCGAAAGGAAGACGATTCGCGCCGCTGACCAATCCACCTGATGGCCTGTATCCCACTGATGGCAGAAGAGAGCGTTGTTGTTGTGTCCCCTGGATACAGCGTACTTATGTTGGGACAGGCGCTTAGTGAGACTGGCGCCCGTCTCGCCAAAGTATTGCTTGTCACAGGAGGTACAAGTAACAGCATAGGTGCCCACCTTCGAGGAAGAGGGAGGGCTGGTGTGGACAAGGTTACGGCGGAGAGTGTTCATCCAAAGATCAACATGCAGTTGAGAGTGTGAAGAGGGCGGCGGAGAGAGATCTTAATCTAGGACAGGCTGAGGAACGGCAGGTGAAGAGTCTCTTTATCATAATAATAGTAATAATGATAATAGTAATAATAATAATAATAATAATAATGGTAATGATAATAATGATGATGATGATGATAATGATGATGATGATAATGATAATAATAATGATAAAATAATAATAATGATAATAATAATAGTAATAATAATGATAATAATAATAATAATAATAATAATAAGGATAATAATAAAATCATAATATTAATAATAACTAATGATTGCAGTGCGAAATAATAATAATTATAATAATTATGGTAATAATGATATCAATAATGATAATAAGAATTATGATAAAAATAATTATGGCAACAATCACAATAACAATAGTAATAAAATTATAATAACAATGATAATGATAATAATAATGATTATGATAATAATGATTATGATAATAATAACCTCATAATGATGATGGTAATAATAGTAATGGTAATAATAATTGTGATTATAATCATAATAATGATAATGATTATTATAATAATTATAGTAATGATAATAATGATAATAATAATAATAGTATTGACTGATAATAATAATGATAATAATAATATTAACAATGATAAACACAGCAAACCGATAATGATGGCAATTATGATATTATTAATAATAATAATGAAATAATAATAACAATAAAAATAATAATAGCAATAATTATAACATTGATAATGGATATAATAATGATAATAATAATAATAATAATAATAATAATAATAGTAATAATAATAATGAAAACAATTGCAATAAGGATAATAATGATGTTAACAATTATAATAATAACAATAATAATAATAATGATGTTAATAATCATCATAATTAAAATGATGATAAATTTGATAATAATGATAATAGTGATAACAATAATAACTGCAATAATGATAAATATGAAAAATGGAATATTGCAATACCGCATTGATAAAGATATATAAGAATCCCCCCTGAACAGAACTCGAACCCTTGCTGCTCCAGGTAAGACCAGAGTGACTAAACCACTAAAAGGAATGTGCAACTAGGATCTTGCTAGCTCTATAGACATTGCCTATCTACTCATACATGAGTAATGATAGCAAGGTTTTATACACACTCCCCGTGGCCACTCGATGGAAATTGAATTAGAAATGCAACACATCAGTAACACCTTCCACTGCCTCCGTTATCCTCGCGCCATGCTCACCCGCCGCCAACACAAGGCCAAAAAGATATATACACAAATATATAAAACATATACACAAATATATAAAATATACAAAAGCGAGACAGGACGAGGCCTCCACGAACAACGAATCGATTAACACCGTAGCGCTTTCAGACGTCATGGCAAGAGGAGCGATTTCGTTTTAACGTCGACATCGAAGGCAATCTCTCGAAGTGGTCCCCATCACAAAACAAGGCCTGCC